GTTTTATTTGGTGTAGTCTGTGTACTAATTGAAGTCTGGGTGGAAATTGCAAGAGCTGATTTAAGAGCACTGGCATAAGACAGATTTGTTGAAGCTGAGTGCTTTGAACTAGGCTTTTGGTTTGGCTTATGGTATGTTCCTAGTAACTTTTGCAGTCTGCACTTCCTTTTCTAATTTCCATTTTGGGCATGAGAGAGAAAATGCTGGGTATTCACCATTGCAATTTATGCAGAAGGGCGCAGCGGTGCAATTGTCATAATTGTCGCCAATCTTTTGAGCATTGAGCGCATGTCAGGCTGCCACAGCAGGACATTTTAGAATGGCTGAAATGCTGGCATTGGAAGCATCGCATAGGGTTTGGAATATAAGGTCTCACAAGACAACTTAGATATACAGTCTTAATATTCTTAGACAGATCTGAGAGTTGAAAGTCAGGATCACATTTCATATTGATCAACTGACCTTCCTTAAGCATCCTGATCTGCTTAGCACAGCAGACACTTTGATCCAGACAGCTTGGCTACGATCTCTTCTTCAGGAACAAACAGAAGGTCCATTTGCAAGATCACACCCCAACAATAATTCAGTGTTTTATGCCCGGTTACAGTGATAGTAGCTTGCCCAAAATTGGTTATTCGAAGTAAGGAAGCAGACTGGGTGACCGAAGTTATATCAATAAGTAAGTTTCCAGAATGGAAACACTTTACATTTCTTGGCTCAGAATAAAAGAAAGAATGCACTTATTGATTACAAAAGAAGACATCTTTTGCAGCTCACCAGAAGGACTACAGAAAACAAGGCAGCGTGGGCAATGGTTAGGATCATTTGCATTTGCATTGGTATGTACTGTCCTTATACTAAACTTTCCAGAACAATCAGTACTTGGAGTGACATGACTAGATTCAGGGTGATTTATTAAATATATATTAGAAATTGCCATGCTGAGCAGAGAAAAGATTCGGGTCTGGCCGCTCCACCCATCACAAATCCAACAAGATCCTGTGTTAGGGCTAGCCAGACCTATATGCAAACTGAAGCCCCAGTGTTGGCTTTCCCAAACGGAGGAACTCCCGAGAGCTTATCCCCAAGCCGCTGACCCTAAGGTCAGGAGGCCAGCCGATTGACACGTGTGAGGACAACGAAGTGCCACCCATTTAGCTGAAGCAGAAGCCAAACAGTGTGTTGAGGATAGTACTTCGCCCCTCAACTACCAGTACCCTCTTTTCCAATGACACCAGTCTCAAAACATGGCAAACATGTGGGCAGTTTTCTTGCCACTAGAAAACTAGAGACAAGGGCTGTACAAGTTTCTCATGACGAGCCCAACCTCCAAAGAGAAAAACCACAAGGGAGAATGAAAGCACAAAAGTTACAGCTCAGTGGAGAGGAGGCAGAAAAGTGGACAGATCACTGGGGCTACAGGATCATGACAACTGTCTTACTAAAAAGTTCATCCCCTGAGGCGCTAGGGCATTTCGGGATTGCAACACCCAAACTCAATAGAGTGATTTCCTGAGAGGGAGAGCATTGAGAGATCTCTGTGAAACCTTTGCCTTTTAGATGCACTTTGCATTGTTCTTAGTAGTTGATGTGGCAATTACTGCTTGTGCTCTGTCATACTGAGAAAAATTGAATGAGCTGTATGAGATAAATTTGATTAAACTATCATCAGTTCTGTGCACATTCAATCCATTATGAATCCATACACACATAATATTTAAATACATGCCTCAGTAAAATTTTAAAGCATTTATAAGCAAAACTTTTCAAAAATTCAAATTTCTGATTACTTAAAAAACCTTTTTATTTTTCTTTTAATTTTGACTTGGAGAAACTTGATAGTATGTACCATAAAAACAGGAGCAAACTTATGTTTATCTTTATTTAAAAATAATATTAAAATTCTATGAGGTATGAAAAGTACTAAAGTGATACTGTGCAATATAAATTAGTGAATATCTTGATTTTTTTAAAAGCTTGAAACATCCGAGTTTTTCTTTTTCACTTGTTTTTCAACTACACAAGTTATTATTCCCCAGCCCCATTGTTGGATGTATTCTAGATATAATTTTGCATTTCATGCATAACAAGCTTACAGAACTATATTTTCGTGCTTTATTAGAAATGACTTTCTTGTCCAATTAAAACACTTTAGACCAGTGGTTTTTAACCTTTTGACTAATGTGTGCCATCTTTCTCAATAGAAATATGAAAAATATATAAACATTTTTCCATTTGCACAGCCTTTTATCTATTTGTATTAAAAATGCACACTTAAAAAGTATTAAATTAAAAATTGGTTACCATTTTAATCACCAAATTTTAAGTTATCCTATTTTAATTATAAAATTTAGTGGAATTTGGGCCTGTTTATGAAAGATCAATTTCTTTATGTCTGGTCTTATTTCATTTATTTTCAACCGTAAGTTAGAATCCACTTTTAATACTGTTCTGATATACATGGAAGAAAATCCTTGTTCATACAAACAGGTTGTGCAAAAAGGAAATATTTGAAATGCCCTTAAATTCTTTTTTTTTTTTTTTTTTTTTTTCAGCCAAAGGTTAACAAGTATGTTATTTTTGAAACCTGCAGTTAAGAGTTTGATCATAGGAAATTTTTATCAATTTTCTTTTTTCTTCACGAGATAAATTTCAGGTACATTTGAACAAAATGGATTTCTAATCCAGTTTTCTTTTTCATAATCCTTGGGAAAATATGTGTTGAAATTATTTATCAATGAAAAACAATGATTTTTAATGTCAGATGCTAATTCTTTTATTTTCAAATTATTTTTGGTTAGAAAACCTTCTAAAAGTGCTGAAAAGTAAAATATTATTATCCAATTCTCGAGTAAAATATTATATCCAATATTAGCTCGAGGTTTTTTTTATCATTGCATTTATTTTATTACTAATGGTAAACAAATTAACAATATCCTTGTAATCCTAAATTTAATTCAACTTTCCAAAAATATCAGCTAAATATGCTAAACGCATTAACGATAATTCACTAAATAAACAATTTTGCAATTCAAATTTTGAATCACAGAGAAAAAGTTGAATTTCTGATTGAAGTTCAAAAAGACGATTTAAAACGTTGCCTCTGGATAACCATCTTACTTCAGAATATAACAATAGCATTTTATGTTCACTGCCCGAATCTTGGCATAAAATTGTAAATATTTTTTAATTTGAAGCTCAGCTTTTAATAAAATTTACAATTTTCTCTAAACTTGACTCAAAATGGTTTTGGGGATTGTTTTGGCCACTAAAGCTTCATGATAATGGAGCAGTGAGTAAATTTAGTTTCAGGTGTCACTTTCTTTATTTGAGAAATCACACCAGAATGTTTTCCGAACTCCATCACTGCACTTATCCTAAGGAATATCCTTCTCAGCCATGAAATTGTCAATTACTTTGAAAATTTCACTTGAAACTGCTCTATCATGAAATGAATCACAAAATAAATATTCTTCGGCGATTCGTTTATCTTCTTTGAAATGTATGTAAACTAATAATTGAACAAAGTTTGTTATATTAGTACTTTCAACCAACTGCAATGTGAAATACTCCCTGTGATTTATTTTTTGAATAAGTGACTCTTTTACAGAATTTGCCACTTCATGAATTCCTTGACTTTTGAATTCATATCGTTTGATAATGGAATATTATTAAGTTCATTAGCCATTTTTTCGTTGAATAATGTTAAAAATATATTTTTACCTACTGTTAATAAGGTTTTCTCCATTAATGCGAGTCTGCTCAGTCTTGGCAGTTCTTAGGCTTAATAGGTAAATAGCTTCCAAAGCTGTTTTACTTGAAGTAACAAAATGCTTTGTTACTTGTTTTCTCATTACATGTTTATTATTTTTTAACTACGATAATTTCCTCTTAAAATATTCTTCAGATTTATCCTTTGAATTTGAATGCTTAGATTCAAGATGTCTTTTCAGAAATGATGGTTTTAAACTTTGATTGAATAACAATTCACCGCAAACAACACACTGAGGTTGAGGGTCCACTTCATCTCCATTCCAAGTAAACCCAAATGATAAAAAAAATTCATTATATTTTCTATAAACAATTATTCTTTTCTTTTCAATATTCTTAGTGCTAGTAGATTGTCCTGGATCCACCCCCTGGTGAATCATCACTTTTTTCACTAGTCAATCCTGACCATTTTCAAAAATGTAGGTTTTTTTTGTTATTTTTTCACAAATATTTTAAATGCATAATACATTATAAGTTCTTCACAAACAAATGATGATATTCTCAAATCCAATAGAAAAGTAAGGAATACAAAGCAACACGAAGACAAAATACTGGCTGTTGAGACAGCAAATCACCATAAAAAAATTATTCTAATTGAATCTAGAGCAATGTGAGCCTGGAATTAGTGGCGACACAAAGTGTAGACATGCTAATAAATAAATCAACTTCAAAAGACTTAATGAGGTACTATTATCTTTTTACAGGAACTTGTTTTTATTTCCTATTAAATACAACATCAATTTCTATTACTCCTTTCAAAAACATCACGTATGACAATTTTGTTTACGTCTGCGGCTAAAGAATATTTGTGAAATTAAAATGGAATATTTTGCTAAAGTCTATGAGCAGCCATTGACCTTGAACAAAGTTCAGAATCACAGAAATTTACAAGTGTTAGAGAAAAAATTTAAACAGGATGTTGGGGTATTTAATTTTTGAATTTTATAGTTAAAAATACTTTTGTTTCTTTGTGTACTACCAGTAGTACATGTACTACTGGTTGAGAATCGCTGCCTTAGACATAAAAAATTGTTATTTTTACATTATTATTATTAAATAGAATCTAGTAATAACAAATTTGCTTAAAATTATTAAATTCACAATGTTTTCTGCAGTTATTTACTACCATTATTTTTTTTAACCACGGTCATTTTAAAAGATATTTTTCTGTTGTATTATTTTTTGGCAAAATCAAGTAAAAAATACAAGCAAGAGAAAATGATGCTTACCAAATTCAACAAAAAGTAATTCAGCATACCAGTGATACGTTCTACTATACTCGGGTGACAAAATATTGATTTGATTTCTGTTGTAAGCCACTCAAGAGTGTGAATAGTTTCATTGCTCATAACATTATGAAACTTAGCGAGCAGGCCCATATGCTGGAAATTGCCTTCTTGCTGCTGTTGCTGATCAGAAGATAAAGAATTCCAAGATCCACTGTCCCTCTGCTGCTGGATCTCTCGAAGTTTGCTCATATACTAGAAGAAACATTTTCATTAATAGCATGATAAAATGATAGCAAATGTGGTTGAAGTGAAGAGAGGATTATATTTCATTACAAAAAAAAAAAAAAAAAAAAAAAAAAAAAAAAAGATGAATTTATATAACCACTTAGAAATAATCAAGATTGCTAAATTTCATAATAAAAAATTTATTTTTATTGATTATTCTAAATATTAAACTTCTCTGTATCTGTATGGAATTTATCTGCTTTTTGCAGAGATATAAACTCTTCTGATTTAGGCAGGAACCTTCACAATTTCAAACATGCTTCCAAGAACCACCTTTACATATATTTCTCTTGACTGGTTCAGAGTTCAATGCTTCTTTACTTACATCCAAAAACACATTGTCTGATGTCTGAAGTCGAACTGACCCCCACCCCCAAAAAAGGCATTTGGGTTACCTGTTTGAGGATTTTTCAAATATAAAATACTTTTTGAAGACTTTTCCAGTTTTCAAATGAAGATGATGATTATATCAATATTACAACTGACAAAATTTTATAATTTACTACTCCAAAATTTTTAAAAAAGTAGGCGGAAAAATCAGCCAAGACTGTCGCTGATTATAGTTAAATCAGAAAAATAGAAAGTGATGATGGAATTACAAATACAATAATGAATGAAGTAAAATGAACTAAAATATTCTGGACTATGTTGTCAATCACTCATAGTAATGCAGAATGCAAAGGATTTTCAGTACTGTTATTGAAACAAGAATTAAAATTAATACGAGGGCTATCCAGAAAGTAGATTACGTTTTGGAATAAAAAATAAACAAAGTATAGGAAACAAATTTTATTATATACAGATGAAAGCCACACTCAAATACTACTTTTCTACATAGTCACCATACAAATTAAGGCATTTATCGTAGCGATGTACGAGCTTGGAAATTCCTTCGTCGAAAAATTCGGCCGCCTGCGCCTTCAACCACTCCGTTACCTCTTCTTGCAGCTGTGTGTCGTCATCAAAACGCTGCATAGCCAGCCACTTCTTCATTGCTGGGAATAGGTGGAAGTCGCTCGGTGCCAGGTCGGGACTGTACGGCGGATGAGGAAACAACTCCCACTTAAAAGATTCAAGAACTTTACAAGTGACATTTGCCGTGTGGGGCCGGGCGTTGTCGTGAATCAACAAGATCTTAGAGCTCAACATTCCTCTGCGCTTGTTTTGAATTGCTCTTCTGAGTTTTTGGAGAGTTTGGCAATACCTTTGAGAGTTTATTGTAGTGCCTCTTTCCAGGAAGTCCACCAAATTACACCTTTTCTGTCCCAAAAAACAGTCGCCATCATCTTCCTTGCCGACATTGTTTGCATGCATTTCTTGGGTTTTTGGGGAGAACTTGTGTGCCCCCACTGCATTGATTGCAATTTCCTTTCACAGTTCACATGTTTCACCCATGTTTCGTCACCAGTAACGATGCGATCGAGTAAAGAGTCACCATCCTTATGGTAAGCGTCCAAAAAGTTCAACGCTGCAGCCATTCGCTGATTTTTGTGGTCCTCTGTCAAGATTTTTGGAATCCATCTTGCACAAAACTTGTGGTAACCAAGCTTTTCGCTGATGATTTCGTGCAACAAACTTCGCGAAATTTGTCGAAAACTCAAAGAAAGTTCTGTTATTGTGAAATTTCGATTTTCACGGACTTTAGCATCGACTTTTTCGAGAAGTTCGGCGGTCACTATGCTGGGTCTCCCACTTCGATCTTCGTCGTGAACATTGGTTCGGCCATTTTGAAATCTTATGACCCACTGACGCACTCCACCTTCAGTGATAATGTTGTTCCCATACACTTCACGAAGCTGCCGATAGATTTCTATCGGTTTACAGTTTTTTGCAGTCAGAAACCTTATTACTGAGCGCACCTCGCAGCTCGCGGGATTTTCAATTAACGCAGACATTTCAAACCATCACAGTATCTGAACGGAGCACAGCACGAACCTCTCACTAGCACGGCTAGATGCAGACTGAGCTGCGCAACGCTCTGACCCCAAGATGGCCGCGCTAGCCCCGCCCCTAGCGGACACAGACGGAAACGTAATCTACTTCCTGGATGGCCCTCGTATTAATAATGACATTAAAAAATTAGAAAAAACTGCCTAATAGACAACTACTAAGAACAAATTTACATTTCGTTCTTAAATAAAAATCTGCCACTCTTGTTAGGAACTGTATAAAGACTGACTAAAGTATTATATTTTTATTTAAAAGCTCAAGTATTTTTTTCATTAAAGTATTTTTGTATTATCTGTATTTGAGAATTCATGACTACACATTTAAATATTAAATAGATACTATTTAAAGTTAGTTCAGTACCACAGTTCTTTTTTTTTTTTTTTTTCCTTTCTTTCTGTGATCTTTTATCATTTAAAAATGAATTTTACTGTTGAGAAAATTTTCCTGACTTTTAAGCTTGATAGGTTAGCACCTCTACTACTGCAAGAGGTCTTGGTATTATAAGTGCTTTATTTCAACTTATAATTTTTAATTTCATTTCATTTCCTTATTATATTTTAAATATTTTAAAAAACAATAAAATTTGACAAAATTTTACATAATATTCTATTTTACATTAATACAATTTGGTCATTATTGTACGCAGAAGAAATGCAAGACACTGATTTGAATTCCAACATCAGTCAGATAATCACAGAGAATCCAAAGCTCAAAACACACTTGTAAAGCATTAATCAGAATTACAGCTTTATGACATAGACACCGTGCCTAGTACGATAAAAACACTTTTATTTAAACTCCATTTTTTAGTTAATATGTTTGGATAATTAGCCTTTGAATTATGTGTATTATTTGTTTTACTATCATATAACATTTTTTTGGGGGGGGGAGAAGAAGGAAGAGCAGCAGTAACAATTTACTCAAAATTTTAATATTCAGATGAAGAAAGAGAAATATAAGGTACTTATGCATTATTTTGTTGACGGTGAAAAGTTCGCTACTACTGTACCACAAAAGCTTGCAGAAATCTTCCCAAAGTAGCATTCTTGTGGAATTCTGAACCACACTTCTATCTGCAACTCTTACAATAAAATATTCATCAGTCTCTCTGCACAATCCATTAAATAGTCACCACTGTAGAAGTATTCGACTTACTTCGTTTTTCACTTCATAAAAAACTTTCATCAGTTTTTTTATTTTGTTGGGCTTTCCGATTTTATCAGAAGCTCTGTTCAGAACACTATGAGTATGAACTTCCCATAGATAATTGTGCCAATCAATCTATTACTGTTTTGTTAGCCATATCCAGCTGTTCTTTTTCTATTCAACAGATGTTAATTCTATTGACCAGCTGTAAATGAATCGGAGAGTAGTCATAAATGTGATTCCACAGTCCTTGAATTCATTTTTTCCCCCAAATGAAAGAAAAATAAAATAATAACATTTAATTTATATGTCCTTGTCATACAAACAAATCATAGCTTGTCCAGAATCAGTTGGAATTACATCAAACAAATGAGATGTTATGAGTGCATTGGGATATCATGCTTATCCATATAACACTGCTTGGTGACAGTTTCATGGTTGACAAGACAATATGTAAGCATGAAATATAATTATTTTCATTTTGCAAAACTTACTGATAAAGCTTCATCCAACAGAAAAATAGCATCATTAATCAGAAGATTTATGAAATGCAGAAATAAAGGTGGATGTGGTGATTCAATTTTCCGCTCAGCTTCTTCAGCCAATTCCTGCAATAGTTTAACGAATTATGCTAAGAAAATCAAAGCAAAATAACTGCACTATTAGAAAAATTAGAACGCTATTACTAGTTTAGTATTGTTTTATTCAAAAATGCCTTTTATTTTCATGATAAAATACGTTTTTTAAAGTTTTAATTTCAAAGAATGCTTCAAAAAATACATAAAGTAATTTAACTACTTTAAATGAGACAACTTTTAAGTTTGCACTTACAATTGATAAAAATGATATTTTAATTACAATTTGATATCATTTTCAACAATGACAAGAATAAATAAGCTTAAAATGTATTACGTTATCTAAATATGAATCTAAACACAAACATACTTAAATCATGAACAGGATGGAAAAGAACAGATTTCCAATAATCCAAGTAATTCAGGCGTGATTATATATTACTGCATGGGATTTACAAAATTACTCATATCCGAAACAGTGTATTTAAAAGAGGTAGTCAAACATTTTTTACAGAAAATCTGATTTCCCTCCATTTCATTTCATTCTTTTAATGCTGAACTCTAATGCCAAACTCGCACACTAGGCCTTTAAGTTTTGTTCTCCATCCCATGCAATTAGATGCTACTTTCTTAATTTGTATCCATCCCACTGAATTTTTCTTCTCTTTTCATCTACTGTTACACTTCAAACCAACCAAATCAACCTGAGACAACTTTTTGGACTTTTCTCATTGGGGTCATCTCATTGGCACTCTTACATGTTATGTGGCTGGCGTATTTAAAATGCAACTTATCCAACGTCACCTATGTTCAATTTATTTTTACTTAATTTTTGTACTTAATGAGAATATTTTTGTTCAAATACAAAATCCCATTTGATACATGCATATCTTCTACTGTTATACTTTGTGCACACACGCATACCCCCCCCAAAAAAAACACCCTCTGATTTATGAATTAAACTCAGAATATTTTTAGATTTTGTTTGCAAAGAAATTAAAAGGAAAAAAATTACATAGAATGAATTTTATGTGCCTGATATTATTAAACTAATAAATTTATTTAAAAGTTTTTGTAAAAATTTGCAGTTTGTTAGCTTTTTAAAAGTAAATATAATGGATTTCCTCATCAGACTTGAAAATCAAAAACAAGTGAAAAATTATAAATTGTACAAAAATACCATTATAGATTTCAAAACAAAATGGAATTTATTACTTAAAATTTAAAGCATTTTTATATATATATATATGTGTGTGTGTGTGTGTGTGTGTGTGATAAGATTAAAATGAGCTGTGATTGAGGTGTTTGTCTCGCTTGAAAATGCAGCAAGAAAGATGGGCCTAATCATTAATGAAAACAAAACTAAATTTATGATCACATCTAATAGAAATGTTGATTTATCTCCTTTGAAGATAAACAGTTATACTTTTGAAACCGTTATGCAAGTTAAATCTCTAGGCACACTGATCACAAATAGCAACGATATAAAAATTGAAATAAAAAATAGAACATTTATGGCTAATAGATGTTACTATGGCCTTCAAAAACAACTTAAATCCAAATTGATCAACATAAAAACTAAATTTAATTTATATAAAACTTTAATATGGCCTGTTGCTCTTTATGAAAGTGAATGTTGGATACTTAACAGGGTACACAAAGACCCGATATCAACTTTTGAACGCAAAATCCTAAGAAAGACCTTTGGACCAATACAACAAAATGGCATATGGAGGATTCTCTATATCATGAACTATATGGAAAATATAGGAAATATAGTGAAACTTATATTGTGAAAATCGTATAGGCATCTCATATCAGATGGCTGGGCCATGTGTTTAGATATGATGATGCATTTTCAACCAAAAAGATAACCTTTTCGAGAATTGAGGGAGTAAGACGAAAAGGAAGCACTAGATGGAGAGATGATGTTGCAGAAGATTTGAGGTTAATTGGAGTTAACCAATGGAGGGCTATTGTGCCGAATGGGGTCAGGTACAGGAAACTTGGAGAGACAATTTTGGCCTGTAACAGGCTGTGGAGCTAATGAAAAAGATGATGATGATGACAAGATTTAGTTCCTTGCAGTAAATTGATGAGAATGAGTGCTTTACAAGAAAATATTTTGCAGTCGTGAGTGGACTGAGGATTAGAAAATCCCTGAAAATATCAATTACATAGCAGAAGATGCCGGAACCAATATTCCAAATATATCTTTATTACTTGCTGCACTTCCCAATGGGGCCAATCTGTACCCCACAGTTTTGATGATGGTGCATTATATTTTTAACAAAAGAAGTCAAGCAAGAGACATCCTTTAGCTAGCAAGTATAGGCACAGAAAGAGGGAGGGTAGTTGGGTTGCAATGGTATTTATAAAAAATTTTTTCGTTAATCTGATTGTCTAAAACTTATAGGCAATGCAGAAGTTTTAAGATGACATAATATGGAATTAGACGAAGTTTCAAGAGACTACAGAGAAAGTACCCAAATTCAAATGAGCAATCAAGAGGCTTTTTAAGTTATAATTTTGATTTATATGTTTTGTAATATGTAAAATATAAAATAACTATCTTTCAAATAATAAATTAATAATAGCCCTTTAACTTCCATTTTCATTCTAAAAATAAGAGAGCAATAATATTTCTAACTAAACTCTTTGCAGTTCTGAGGCACACTTATCGATGAAATCTGAATATGTGATTCGGTATAAAAGGTAATTGCGTCGCAACTCCCCCTCTCTTCTATTCTGCTTTATTTCACTGCAACACTTTGCCGTTAGCCACACAGAGTTTATTTTTTCCATTTTTGTGCATTATTTAAGAAATGTAATCTGTATAAAATTGTGGTGTGAATAGCACACCCATAGCAATGATGTGAATTATCAAGGAAAAAAATTATGTGTAGGATTTACCATTAAGTCTCTCTTCGAGTGCCATCTTTCTAACTACACAGTTAAGCTTCTCCAAAGCCAATCCGTTGCAACTTTCCACTAAGTTGTCTTATTACGTACATATATAGAGCAAATGAAATTTTATTTTGCAGCTAAAATGTTAATACCTATTTTCAATATTTGACAATTGCATCTTGAATCTATGCATATCAATACATCTGCTACAGTTTCTAAACATTTCCACCACAATTTTCTTTCATTAAAATGATGGATTAAACCAGGGGTTCCCAAGGGGTCAATAGTCAAATATCCACAAGCAACTGATCACTATAACATCCCATTGATTTAAAAAATTATTCATAAAATTGATAACTAATTGCTAATTCACCACTTTGCCGTTATATCATATAGTAAGGATGAAATCATAAAATAAATATAAAGAAAAAATATATTAAAATTGTGATGCAAGAAGAGTTGATTGCAGTGAAGGGAAGATGTTTAAGCATTATGTCTTTTTCAAAATACATGAGAAGTTTTGGAATTTAAATTTTAAAGCCATCCAAGTGCAAATCCCAAAATAAAATTCGTTAACAAACCAACATCATTGACTTTTTCTCTCTTCTTACCTAGTGCAAGCAAGTTTTAATCTAGTCAATAATTTAGTTCAGGAAACAACAAATAGACTGAATATTTTTAACGAGGTGACTTAAGAATTGAGTTAAGCAGTTTTAAGCCAAAGAAAAAAAAAAAAAATTCATTAGCACATCAGGCATAGCCATCTCATTAATTAAAATATAACTTTTGTACAGTTAGAATCTGTGATTTTGTTTCTGAAAACTTATTTATAACTGTAAAATTATAAGCAATAATAATACAAAAAATAATAAAATATTTATTTAATAAACACTTTTTCAAAACTTTTGTTAATATTCTTAATCTCACTGATATTATTAAGTTGATTGATAATTAAGTTATTTATATGCAATTATAATTATTTGTATTATGATTACAATACATGCTGTATATTATAAAGAAAACTGCAAGATAGTTGATGAAGAAAACCATTCTTTTAAATGAGGTCAAAGCAGCAAAAAGGTTGAAAATCCATGGATTAAACTGTGCAATTCAACATCTTCCTGGAAAAATTTCACATTTTTTGGAGGAGGTAGAGAATTTCTCAGTATTGATTTGCATAAACAATCCAAATCATTAAAAATTCAGAATACAAAAATACATTATGAATCAAATAAGAAATACCTTTAATTTCATCTTATGAACTTCAAAATTCCACAGATAATCTAGTACAATATACATAGGTCTTCTGTACTGAAATTTCTGTTCAAATGCTACACTCTGCCCAGTCATTTCTATACTCACAAAGACATTTAATACAGTAGGAATCAATTCCTCAATGAAGAGGTGACCAGAAAACAGTTTCTCCCGATAGGCACTAAAGTTGAGGAAATACAGTATAAATATGAGGAAAAAAAGCAACTACCACAATTAATTTCACATTTGAAAACTGATTAAAGTAGAAAAAAGTAATTGGTTACATATGCACATATATTTAATATTTCTTATATGCATGAGCAAAGCATTTACAAAAAAATTAATTATACTAAACCTAAATGATTCTGTACTGAGATACCTAATAAGGGGCATTAGAAACACCTTTTATTATTAAAACAATGCTGCAAATGTTCACGGAAATTATCAGTTTGATGTATTACATAAATTACATTAATTAGATAAATTATTGCAAAATACATTTATCTTCTGGACATCATTTAGTCTGCTGAACAATTATAACTTAAAAACTTTATGGAAGATTGAATGAGCTGATTAGGTTACATGAAAGATGAATTAACTTTATAAAAAGCATTATGGCTTTTTGAATCTGTAAATAAAAAGATGAATTTAAACAACATTTATGGGTTAGATTTGCGTAACACACTTTTGTCTATGTTTTCAATGCTTAGGGTGATATTTACAAAGTAAGAAAACACAACAAATGCATTTAATTGATTACTGATGGCTTAACTTCATTTTGATTCTCCAGCAGCACTTCAAAGAAAAGCAAAACAAATATACAACACATATTATCTAATAAATAAATATATTATTAAAAATACATTCATTTTCTAGATAATATTAATTTAAATATATAATAATTATCTAAGAAAACAAAACAAATAAATAGATCAGAGTACTTGGTAAGTTTTTTAATTCCTTACTATTACACATTTCCCTCAATTGTTAATTTTGCGACTATGTACTTTCTCAACAAATATTAGATTAATAAAAACCATACACTAAAAGGGCAGGGGACATAAAATCGACAAAACATACTGAGAGTAAATGGAAAACAATGAGAAAATACTGACAAAAGACTTCAGTAAATTTTATTTCATTACATTCCGTAAATTTCAATGATGATAATGGAAAATCAATATTATTTTTATTATGTACTCAAAATGAAACTTTTTTGCATTAGAATGCTTTTATTAGAGTCTGATTCCATGAATGCAGCATCTTTTTTTAATTTTCCAGAAGGTATTTTATGGCAAAATTCTAATATGAATCTTTAAACAGAAATTTTTAAAAATTACATTAATTTTTAGTTATATGTTTAAATGTTTTTTGGGTGACATATATATATATGATAAGTAAAACTAAATTTCAAAATGCATTTAAATATATAATCATTTACTTGTTTATAAATTTTACTATCTTAATTGTATAATATGCTTAAACTAATTATGCAATTTTACTAATTTATCTGCATATTAAATCCCTCTGACAACTACATAAATCTGAAATTCTTGGATGTAAATGCATAAATTTGAAATATTCTGCCTCATGAATTTTTACACCATTTACAAATGGATACATGATTTTAAAGCCAAGTATTAAATACTAGTACCTGCTTAAACTTCCACCCCGAAGCAATCTTGAGCTGTAAAAATTAAGTGTTCAATGTCCACATGAAAATAAATTTTACAGATCATTCAGGTTAAATCAATTTACAAGAAAATACATACCATATTTTTATTCAGATACACATTCTATTAACTGAGGTGACAATTGGATTTTTCAGTCAAGGAAAGAATGAAAGATTTTTTAATTATTTAGGAATATAGAAAGCAATATTGATGAAGATATCAAGGTTAGAAGGCTCAAAATTTTGAATGAAATGTGGAATGCTCAGTTATTTTTAATAAAATTTAATTCAAATGTACCATGCAATCTAATAAATTCTTTCCAAACTAAATGCTTCCATTTAATTCTAAAGATATTTTGACCACATAGTACTTCCATTACCTAATTACATGGGAAAAAAAAAAATCCACTGAGAAAAAGGATTTGAATATATTCATATTAAGATAGATACCCAAGGAATATCTAAAAGTATTGATGATTTAGACCACCTACGGAAAAAGCTTAAGATGAAAGAATGGTGGGTAATGCCTCTTAAGGGGTAATGGTAACAAAGATGAAAGTTTAGATGGTTAGTTACAAAGCAGTGAAGCAGCATTATATCATATAGCATAGAATGGGAGCAAAATTGAAGGCTTCGATGCATTATTTGCAATAAGAAGAGGAAATGAAATACATTAATGAACTAAGTGGTATACACTTAATTATAAATACATTTTATGTTTCTACATATACACCAAAGAGCCATTACATTATGACCACCCTGTTAATAATATGTAAGATACTTTTAACCCTCAAAACTGCCAGCACCTGGTGAAGCATTGACTCCACAAGGTTCTCATACGTAATCTGAGATATCTGGTACCAAGTACTCACCAACTGGTCCTGCAATTCTCACATATTGCGAGGGAGTAGCATGGCAGCACGAATTTAGTTTTCCACATGGGACCACAAATGCTCTATTGGATTAATTTCAGGTGAATCTGGAGGCCAATACAAGACTTGAAATTCACTGGAGAACCACTCCGATGATTTGAGACTCATGACATGGTGCATTATCCTGTTGGTAAACACCATCCCCCACTGGAAATACTGTTGTCATGAATGGGTGAACCTGCAACGATGTTCACATAGCACACAGACATCAGGCATTGTTCTATGGGAATTATGGGTCCTAATGTGCTCCATGAAAACAATGCCCACACCATACTACCCCTGCCAACAGCTTGTCTTCATCCAACTGTTCATCCAGGAGCCAGGGTTTCGTTTGGAAATCGGCATATCAGCACATGCCTGTCGATGTGATGGACCAGAAAATGTGATTCATTAGACCATGCAACTTTCTTTCATTCTTCTAATGTCCAATTCCGATGTTTCTTGGCCCATTACAGACACAGCTGGCAATGACGTGCCATCAGTGCAAGGAGATGTTTCGGCCTCTGGCTGCATACGCAGCAATGTATGCTGCACAGTGTATTGAGAAACACTGTCCAGGTCATCACTGTTGTAGCTGGTGGTGATTCTGACTGTTGTAGCTCTTCTGTCACGCCGAACAATACATAGCATTCTCCACTCTCCTCTGGAATCAATACACTGTCAATGATACACTGCTGTCCGACGACTTGTTGTTTCATCATCCATACAGCACTTTCAATATGTGCTCACAACAACTGTCCACGAACAAACAGCCCACTAAATGCTCAATTTTTGACACTGATGTTCCCAGTCACCGAGCGATAATGATTTGACCTTTACGGAAGTCTGATAAATCAGCTGGTTTTCCCATTATGTTGCTAATCATGATGTGTTTGGAACAATGCATAGCCACTTTATATTCTCCAACAACAGCCATGCATGAGCAGTGGTTTTGTTACTTGTCGAGCCCATTGCTATAGATTAAGGGTTTTTCATATGTAATGGCTCTTCAGTGTATACATACATAAAAAAAATAACATCTAAAGCCAATGTTTAGTTGTTTTATTGAAATTAATACATAAAATTCAGAAATTCTGCACTAGAACACGTGAATATTCATTGGAAATATTCAAGCAAAGAAAATTTTGCATATTAGACAGGTGAAATTGAGATAAATCAAAGTACCCTACATGACCTCAGCAAAAGATAAGTTGATCATTTTAATTATTAGTGAATGAAAAGAACTATTTTAAATTACAACTATGTTCTGAATATCATGCAGATATGCTTCTGATTTAATGCAGCAGGTAACACTGAAGCAAGTCAGTTTCAAGCTCAAATTTAAAGATTTTGTACATTATATTAAGTCCAAATATACAGGTATTATGGCTATATCCAACAGGTATCATGGCTGTTGCAGCAAATGTTAAGGATATAAGCAAGGTGGATAAAGGCAAAAGATGGACACTACATTACTTTATTTAACAAATAGGATACATATGATGTATATTACTAGCCAACTATCCACTATTCTGCACAGCATCTGGTAGAAGTGTATCAAGCTAAACCACAAACCACATTCGAGATATCTATTGAAAGGCCAACAGACTTTATTTCAGGTCTTTCTTGCACCACACAGATTATTTGTACTTTTCCAAGCAACACTCTTTAAGAATTAACATGACTGGTATCCTATATTTTTTACTTATGGATCAAGATTGAACTCATAAAGTGAAAGCTGTCGGCAATCTATCTGGAGATAAAGAAGAAGCATTCATTAAAGCAAGAGCTTCCTTTCAAAGAAATACCTTATTTGTATGGTATAAGATTATTTTAAATAGTCATACAGCTTTGCATGTATTAAAGAGCGATACGCTAAATGCTCTTTATGATACGAATGATACCCTAAATTTGCAAGGCAAGTTTTTACATGCAATTATTGGCCTTAGCTCTTTGTCTATTATTGGACAGTATTATCCATCCACACTGGAATGCACCTGACAACAATTTTCTTCAAACTAAAACTATTCAAGAAATGAAGTGGAGAGCCAGATCTCCAGATTTTAAACCTGCAGACAATTTATGACTTTATCTTGACAGACAACTTGGTGGATGGCAGCCGTCAATTGTAAACCTTAATGACTTATAAGCAATTTCTTGAAAAATAAAGTTCACTGGATAAATTATTAAGCCATAATGTAATTAATGATTTGATTATGATTATGCACCATTGTTCCACTTCTGAATGTCTCTTAAAAGAAAACAATAAATGTATTATTTCCTGTTAAAAGTGCTCTCTGTTTTCATACTTTTTAAGAGTATGTCATATTTTGTATCATGTTTACAACATTTTCGTATCTTGTTTGTACATCACAAGTGTATTTTCATTCAATCTTTTTATCATATTTCTTCCCATCACTATGTATCTGTGTGTATCTTTTGATCATATTTCTTCCCATCATTGTGTATATATAAAAGATACACAGTGATATATAAGTTGAACAACTTGTCACACACTATTATTAAGGTTCAGTGCACTGCTTCCTTTATATATGAACCTTGCCTTTCCACTGGAAGGCACATAGAAGTAACATTCAATGTATTCTTTATTACATCTCATATATGATAATTCAGTAACTTTAAAATTATACACTCACGAAAGAAATATGTTTTAAAACAAGAAGCTACACTAATATTTGTCTGAAATCAGACTTTACTTATAATCACGAACTAAAGAGGTTACAAAACATGCACACATAACTGTACAAATAAAGGTAAATAATCCAAAGCCACTGGTACCCAGATAAAAGTGCACTAGGTTCATCTTCAGCTACTGGCATAAGTGATTCCAGCATTTCAGCCAAATGAGCTCTTAGATGAGGATTTTTAACTCTGTCAGGACTACCCATAAACATCAAAATCATTGTCATAAAATGATCTAGAGCAGGACCAGCCATCTGTAAAATAACAGAAGGATATTATTTTGCTTATCTCCATCAGAAGATAGAATTACAAGTAGAACAATTTATGTTTACATGTATAGCACATATTTTAAATAATAAAGCTTTAGCAATATTTACCTTTTGTTCCATCCTCTATATTATTATTGATTAATAATTAATCAATAAAACAGTATCTATACAATAATTATTATTCTTTTTTTTAGCATTAATATGTAAACTTAAGATTTAGAATGGGCCAAATATTGTAATAAGAAATTCTCGAAAAAAATCTTAAAAATCTCCTACGTTGAGATAAGAAAAACCATTGTAATTTACATCAAATTAATAGGAATATATCAAATGTCAAACTTATTTGATATATTTTACAAAACTATGCTTTTAGAATTTTTCTTCTCTTTTTTGCTTGAGTTTTCAATAGACAAAAATACTTTCATGCTACAATTTGTTATCATATGCCTACAGAGTATGTTCTTGAATAGCAGATATTACCAGGTTACTATGCACTATCAGTTATGCACAGAAATATCAAAAAATATTTTTGTACCATTGAGCTTCACAAGAATTTGCATCTCTGTTGCATAGAAATCTGATTGTTTTATAACTCTGTAATAAATCATATTTCTATAACATAATTTTTGTTAACAAAGAATGAATTTTGCAGTATACTGTTTCTAAAACTTAACAAAAAAGAAGAGTAATATTTCATAAGATGTCATGATGAAACTAACACTTCACTTTAGTTAGCAGAAACAAAGCAAAAATATAATTGCAAGAAACAACTTTTCAGATTTTTCATGACCACATTAGTTTTTTTCAAATTCATAGAGTATGTTTGCAGTTTTGGAACTTCTTTATATCTCAGTTTTTTAATGCTCAGAATAAAATTAACAAAATAACATAGGGATAGTTGGAATGACTATTTTACTCCTCCTCCTTAGCACTGAATACTGTTTTAGAAACAAATGCACTACATTTACATTTTGCTGCTGTTTCCCTTACTTCCATGTAAAAAAATTAACTTTTGAGGTGGACTTGCTTTATCATCTTTACCACACATTTTTTCAGGAAGGGAGAATGAAAATTTTCCCAAGAATTTTATAAAAACATGAAAAACAATAATCTTAAAGAAAAAAAATTATCTAAAGGCCCTTCATGTGCATGAAGTCAAAATGTAAAAGTAAGCAGTTAATATGGCATTCTTGTTTATGATTTTTACATAACGCATTGAATTTGAAAGGACATAAATTAAAATTACATGACAGTTGCTCACAGAAGAGGGTTCCAAAAATTAGAATTCAAAATCATACTAAGAAATAAGCTCTGATGCCAAAATTCGAGTTAACAAAAACATTGTATAAAACTAAAGTATATATTACAATCAGTTTCTTAAATGCTTAATTAAATTATTTTCAGAAATAAGCTTTTTTACTAAAAAATCTTTACGAACTGCATTACTTAACATGTGCTTATGTGTTCCTCAGTGTTTTCAAGCCACTTTTGTCTTGATAATAATTCTAATAAATTTAGATTAAAATTCTTCTAATATATCCTGTAATTTTGATCATATTATTTAATTAATGTATAGTACAAAAAGACTATCAGCAAAGTCTATCCCAATAGCGAATACTAAATATCATTCATTTCCTCCAATTTGCCTTTTATGAGAAATTCTTCCACTACTATCCACATCTTGCATGGGATTTGAATCTAAACTCATTAATGAAGAGTCAGCTTTTGCTACATTTGCTAACCATGCAGCCTTATACTTTCGAAATTTAGAATTGATTATATCTTCGAACTTCTGCATGAAAACAATCTAATTTCAAAAACTCTGAAAGTATTTTAACTTCAGCATTATAACAATAAGGATTTAATTAATAAAAAAATTTATCAACTTTCAGCCACTCAACAACTATAATTAATATAAATCTGTTTATGTATCAATAAATTTTCTACTGAATAATAAAGACATATTTTTATAAAATCTTTCAAATTAAAATTACAAGACAAAACATTTCTCAGTAGTTTCCCAAATGATAAAATCAAATCTTACATATACCCTTACCTAGTAAGATAAATCTAGAGACAAATTTAAAAAGATCTTCCTCAAAAATTGGAAATAAATTATTAAAATTACATAATGTTTTCTATATGTTATCTCTGTGGTATAATCATAGCACATTAAATATCACACAATAACAGATTATCAGCATTTAGTTTATTCAAGGAATCTTTCTGAGAATTATTTAATAAAAAATGAATTATAATGTTTGAAGACTGCAACTTACCTCAAATGTTTTTTGACTGTAACGCTGGACAAATATTGTACAATCTATAGTGTTTTCAATGATGAATTCCGGAATATATGATAAGTTGTATGATGTTTCAGCAGGAGGTGGAAATCTCAGTGTCTTGAAAACATTAAATTCTTCTCTTGTTGACATTTTGACTAGCCATGTGGCAGTAGCAATGTGAAATTTGAGCATTAGATCTAAAATTTCTGGAACTAATAATGCTGTGCGATACGTCAAAAATTTCGTCATTCCTATAAACAAAAAAAAAAAAAAAAAAAAAAAAAAAAAAAAAAATTAGCATGTACACAAAATTAAAAAGTCTGATGTATACACCACATGACTTCCTTGTATGGAATATTAAATTATACGAATTTTTTCTTGCATTTTATTTAAACTTATTGGATTGAATTAAATCTACTTCGTCAATAGTGCATAAACCACATTAGAATAAATGCCCTCTTTAAAATTCACTATATCTGTTTATCATAAGCAACACTCTGATGCTAGGTTCACTTAATAGCATTATATTTCGTTGATATTATAACTCAGAATGCACAAAATTTATATCATTTGAAAAATTATCTAATCATTGCCACATGTTCTATTCAAATACTATAATAAATCTAGAACTATAAAAGACTATACTATAAAACTATAAAAGTACTTTATAATACTATAAAGGAAATTAAGCAAACAAAACAAAAAAGAAACAGTTTTTCACAGACGATTTAATATTTCTCATTCAATTAATTCAGTTCTCACTTCGCAACAAGGCAAAAATACATTCTATCTATATTAAAATTTTTGAAGTAAATGAGGGCGTTATTTTTGTTGTTACGAAGCTCAGTCTCTCTAGATTGGCAACAAATCTACTATTCTGCTGTTTCAAATGTAAACAAACATGTCTACCATGCTTTTTAAAAATTAGGCTTAACCGCACTTAAACAGTTTTTAAATTATCGATAATTCTACAAATACTGCTTGCAGATTTACAAAAGCATAAAAACCTTAACCGGAAGATAAGAATAACATAATTCAATCAATTTTAAAGCAAAAAATGCACAATTTACAAACATATAAGAGTGAAGAAACTGAGGAAACTGAGCCGGGTTACAGAGTGGATATATATACATATATATTTATATACGTTTGGTGTGGCCGATTGCAACCAAAATACGAGGTGCAGATCTACATCTTATAGCAGTCATATATACAAAATTTCAACGTTTTGAGGCTACTCATTTTTGAGTTATGTGAGATACGTACGTATAGATGCCACGAAAAATTCTCTTCAGAATTCATTTTAAAGCAATTTTATAATTTTTTTTTTTAGAAAAAGTGTCTTTTATTCTGTTCTTACATACAGTCATGCAAAAACATCGTTAAATTGCATTCGATAGCAGTCAAAATAGATATTTTCATTGAAATATGCTGCCTGAAACTTTTCGTGATTACAATACTTCCTTTTTACTTTGTACAAGGAAGTAAAAAAACAGAATTATAAATGCTAATTATGCAATATATAGATTTTGTTTTGCTACATTCACAAACCAGTATCAAATATTTTATAAGTAATTTTTTATAAAAAGGACATTTTTAATTACAGAGGTCTAATACTTGTTGAAACAAAATTAACAGCTTTAATTTGCTATGTGAACCATATTACTCAATCATAACATTAATTCCTTTTTTTAATTTATGAAGAAATATTTTCAATGAATTAAAATTATAACATTAGTACAGCTCCAAACAACAATGGCTTTTCAGTCATGACAGGCATAAGAAGAGCTTTGTTGTTAGGTAGCTAGAAACTGTTATATCACAAAAACTGGTTTAAAGATTCCGTCTAAATGCTCTAACTTTTCAACTTCATGCCAACCTGGTATTATAACTGGCCAATACAGCTACGCAAAACACAATCTGATATTTGGTTGACAGTTTTGTTGAATCAGCTGTACCTTTACATATGCACAATGTAACCTTCCATGATTAGCTACTGCTTAAACCTTGTTAACAGATGTGAATGAACTTTTACACCTTAAGTCACAAAAACAGTCAAACAAAATCAACCCAGTAAAGAAATTCTCAAGATAATAAAATAATAAAACACATATTTGAGATTCTAAACTAAAACTAAACTCAGTGGTGCAAACAGCCCTAATGGGTTAAGGCTTGCAGTGCCCTGAAATCTGCTTTTTTGACCATGGGTGCATAAGCATATGCCCTGGTCAGCTTGTCTCAGAACCCCCAGTGTTTAGTCCCCAAGCGAACTTGGTACTTATTTTATCGACCCAAGGGATTGAAAGCTAAGTCGACCTTGCCCCCAGGGTTCGAACCCCAAACCTGTGAAGCTGATGAGCGATGCACTAGCCATTGTGCCACCGGGCCTTATTTGAGATTCTAATGATACAAAAAATGACAGCATAAAGGTTATAAAAATCTGAAAAATATTATAATGGTTTATTTATTGTATATGAAAAACATGTAAAATACACCACTTCTTGTGATGAAAAAGTTGCTAAATGTTATCAAAATATTATAGTTAATTAGCAAGGCAAACTTGCCTTCTTGATGCCCTGTATTTGCTGAACATATCTTTGAATCACATCTCAAAAAGAGAATAAAGAATTGTTTTAAGTATGCCAACCTTTTAATATATGATGAAATAAAGGAAGTAGAAAAATTAAAAGCAAGTTCTCCAATTCACAAGAATTGCGAGGAACTTAACTTGGGTGCACCAATAATAGAATACACTTGCCAGTCCTTTATTAGACAGTTACTAGAAGTAAAGTTACTTTCAGGTCACTTTCTGAAATAAATCCTAACTCATAATTTTTGAAATAAGTCCTAACTCATAATGTGATAAACTTATTAAAGAAGGGGGAAAATGATAAAATTGGTGGGTCTGCAACAAATAGTGAGATAAGGAATGCGCTACAAGTATTAAGATTACGGGTACTATATGTGATGATTAGGGAATGACATAGATAGACAATAAAGCAAACACAGTAAATCTGGACTGAAGAAGAAACTTGGAAGTCATATAGATGCAATAAGATGCAGTTGTAGGAGATTTAAATCATAATTCTTTTATTGTAGTTAAACATTTTGTGGCCACAATTCACTAAGCACACTAATAGTACTTGTTTCAGAACTGTTACATTTAATATACTGTTGAGATTGGAAGATAAGAATCAAGCTCCATCTGACCGAAAACACAGGTGGAAGCAAAGTGCACAGTTATTCAATATGGCAGCTAAGAGGAAGTTCTGGTTCAAGTTCCAAATTAGCTACATCATCAGTATTATTAAAAGTCATATGATATGGACTGATCTAGAAGTGACGCAGGCCAGAAAAGTTATTACTACTTTTAGAATAAACAAGAGAAGTACTCAAATTAAAAACAGGAATTAAGATCAATTGCTAATTATACTTTTGATTTACAAATTTTTTATCTTACATATATATATTTAATACAACTCAAAAAATTTTAAAAATATGTTGAATTTTAACCTTTCTCCATATTTTCTTTTATTCGTTGTCCAACTTCAGATGATTCTCCCCCTTGAGCACGAGTCTCTTCATATAGTCTCTGTATGCGTACCAATTCTTGATTTAGTTTCACCATTCTTTCATTAATAACATGAAACCCAATTCTTAATGCATAATGTGTAGCAAAGAAAATTTCTGTAGTAAAATTGAACTGTTTTTGCTCAGAGATCATTGGCTCATCCCTTGGTAATAAGCAAGTCTCTGAAGATATACCTAAAAACATAATTTTACAAAATACAAGTTAAAAAGCAAACAGCCTAATAAAAAAAGAATATAGTGTCTTATAAAATTCAACAGTGATGTTGCTCAGATTCTTACAATTAGTTTCCTTCATTAACTATTACAGCAATCACAGAAATAATTATGACTTACTCAAATTAGTAGATGTAAACACAGTTTTAATTTTATAAAGAAACTGCTATACATAATGAATCTAACTTGAAGTTGAAAAATGTTAGATCAACAGCATTTAGGAAAAATAAATAAATAAATAAAACAAAATAAAAAAATAAACAGTTACTTAACCTTAACTACATTTAATTCTTCCAATTTCTACTACCATATTTTCTGTACAAGACAAAAAATACAGCAGCAGACATGTAAATCAAGCAACTGAAGATCTAGATTTGCCAAACTGAAGAAAACACATGATACATTTCCTACTCTAGTAAAGAAACTGTTAAAAATCAAGATGTTCTAGAATCTATTTTCAAACTAAAAATAATAACTACAATACAATTTCTATTCCAGCAGAAACATTGGGAATTCAGATATTTATTTGAGTTCCATAAATTTGGACACAGTTATCAACTGAAGAGATTTATAAATTTCACTTTATAGATGGTAATAACTACTACCGTACAATCTGATTTTAATATACACTTATCCTTATATGCTTGTCATCTGGCTCCAGAGCAAATCTTGACTCATCAGTAAACATGACATTGCCCCAGTCAGACACATTCTAATTGACATGTTCCCGGCACCACTGTAATGGTGCCCTTCTTGATTGGATGGATAGAGGAACACAAACTTGAGGTACCCAGGCGTACAGTCCACTCATATGTAATCTTCGGCGTACAGTAGCTGCAGATATCGCTTTACCAATGGATGCTCACAAGCGTGGAGGTTGCTCTGCGATTCCGCTTGGCTACAATAGCAATATATCGATCTTCCGCTGGAGTTGTAACCCTTGGGCGACCGGCTACGGGCCTTCGGACAACTGTCTGTGTGGTTTGGAATTGTTTCCATAAACGTGAAATTACAGAACGATGAAAGAACGCCAAAGAAAAGAGCAACATCTGTGATCGACTGTCCTGCTTCAATGTGCCCCACAGCATGCCAGTGCTCAGAATCTTCCATTCGTCTTCTGAAAGTTATAGAAACACGTACGTATTGTAAATTGTATGAAAGTTTTAAACACCTTCTATTAGCACTTACAATCAACTTCTGTAACCCTTCATAAAGCTGGCTTCTTATCAGACTGCCTTTTTTGCATATTTCTTGACATGAAAGCCCAATTGGCTGTTACCCAACATATTTGCATACTTCCATCTACCTCTGCAGCGAATTGCATCCTCTTCAATTCTGATTGGCTTCCGGAAATTAGCATTTTCCCCTCCGTGCTAAACTTTTGGAAGTGAGTGTATATGCGTCTTTTTAATTTGAAGCCTTCCCAGACATTTTGATTACATACAGAGATTATATACGTACATTACAGAGATTATATCGATTTCCTTCTCTTTAAGCATCTTTTCTAACAATTAGAAATTTGTCTCAATATGCAAAACAATGTTCTCACTAGTTTCTGCGTGTTTTATCTCCTAACCTGTCAATCTCTCCACAATATACCTATGAGGGCTTACTTGATCTGGTAAAAGTTAAATAGTCCAAACCCTCCTGACAGATGTGAAGCAAATTATCGCTATGTCTGAAAACAACTACAGAGTCAGACAAACATTTAAGTACACTTCTTATTTAAAAAGAACTTAGAACATAAAGTTCTTATTTTAACAAAGTCAATTACAGCTCATGGTGATGTAATTAAACAAAAAGAGTCAAATTAAAACTAAAAATATGGACTAGTGTCAAAGACTATACAATTTAATTTCATTTTAAGCTGAATCAGTAACTCTATTGTTATAACAAATTCAAATATCGACAGCGGGAATGCAAAGACAAATAATTACAAATTATCAGAGCTGGCAGGAACTAATGCAGGCAGCAAGGGAAGGTCAGAAACACACTCTTGTCTTACACTCCAAAAACCTCAGTTTAAAAACTGTCTAAGTGATCTGCATTCTGGCAAGAAAATAGAAATGGGAAATTATAGTAAAGGCTGAAATTGCAAACAAGTGGGTAATTTACATAATAATAACTGTACATATCTTTACAGAATTATTTTCTTTCTCTTTATGTATTCAGTTTCTTTCTTCCATGTTTCCTTTTCAATTTCAAAGATTTCTGTTCTAAAAAAACTAAATGGATTTAGAATGTATAGAAAAAACTGCTAATTTTATTTCTTTAGTAATATGAGCATTCAGAAGAAATATGAAATATAGATGGTAAGGTCCAGTTACAGAGCTGGTGTGGCAGAATTTTTAGAATTTAGTGACACACTGAGCAACAAAATGTAGAAATGGCAAATCTTTTAGAATTTAGAACAGGCACTGGAAGCAGAATTTAGAAAGGCACCAGGCAGCAGAATTTAGGATCTACAGAGATTGCATCAGGTGGGAAAATGCCTAGTGCCAGCCCTGTATATGATGCATTAAGACATATTAGTTGAATATTTTAAATTGTCAGTTTTCAATTTCTTTATTAATGAAAAAATTCTTTTCTATAATGCCTGTCGATATGATAAGATTAGAAGCAATTTTGATGTTTTCCATGCCTGTGTCTAGTGAAAAGTTGAGAAAATAAAGGGAAGATAAAAATATTAAGAAAACGATTCTAATATCAGAAGTAAAACATTCAACCATTATGTTTTCATTGTTCTTTAGGCGTTCTCCAAAAAGTAAGAAATTGCGTGATAATACCAAGACATTTTTCATTTTGTCACATTTTTCTGGAATCTTCTAGAATCGTGAGTCTATATATCTTGCCTTGAAATCTTTCTAAACTTTCCAATCTGCAATGCCTAAAATCCTAAAGATTAACTACCCATACCAATTCTGTAACAGCAAAAAGCCAAATATACTTTGAAAAAACAATCGGAGGGAAAAAAAAGTATAAAATTAATTTTGTAGAGAAAACTGGTGCATCTTCTGAGAATTCTGAATATTCTGAGACAATTAGGTGGGAAATCTCTTACCATGAAAAAATTAAAAAGACATTTTTAATTAATTACATAGCTATTTTGCTATTGCTAAGAACTGTTTCGTAAATTGTGCTTTATAGCATTACACCTTGCTCATTTCTCAGATTCAAAATATTGTATAAGTGGCCAAAATGGAACTTAAAAAATAAAAATTTATTTTAATGTTATTTTTTAACTATAATTACAATAAATTACCATTATTTTAATGAAATTTATCAATGTTACAACGTTCTAAAAAAAAAAAAATTGTCGAAAAATTCCCAGATCTCGGAATTAAAAATTTTCTATAGGTACTGACCTTAAAATCGCCAAAATCTTGATAAATCGCCACATTTAGAACCATTTAATAAAAGAGTTCACATCTCCAAAAGCGAAAAGTTGTTTAAAAGCTCTTCATTAGAAAATTTTGAAATGTTTATGTTCCACTTCTTGCTCAGAAACTCTATCCCACCATTTATATTAGAAATAGGAAGAAATTATAACCCATGAATGCATTCAGCCATTCAAAAGATAATCATATTTGTCACTGAATCGCCAGAAATATTTCTCAAAAATGCTAATTCACACTCAAAATGACAGTCATAAAAACAAATAGAAATTTCATATGATTAAAATTAGAAACCTTCTCCCGATTTTGGTCAAAATGAATGACTTTTAAGAACCAAAAATAGATTCCAAAAAACTTAAGGACTTTTAAGGACTCTTAAGGACTGTACGAACCCTGGTTGACACTGCTTGCTTTGAAATCGTTGAGTTTGTTAATAAAAAATTCATTAAAGGTTTACAAAATATGACATAGTTCATAAAACAAATTCAAAATTCGGGGTTCCAGGTGTTCCTGTTCGGGCGCAGGACTATGTTAATGAAAATTTGATAGCTCTAGATACCATTGATTTTTCACAATGTGAGATACATGCATATATTCATGCAGATTCTTCATATACAGGGTGATAATATTTGACAGCAACAATTTAAAAAGTGATACAACATTTATAGTGATTCAACACAAAATGCTGTTTTGAGACCAATATCCCTTTCGAGACTAATGTATATTTGAGTAAAAAGAGCACACATTAAATACTTCTTGACTAATCAGTTGCAATTTCAATGAATCAAATAAGAGGGGCTTTTGGTCATTCTATACCTTAGCAAAAATATATAAAAATAAAATTGTTATACAAGTCCCAAAGGACAGGTTATATGATAAAAAAGATGCTCCACCCTTATACAGTCAAGATTATCCAAGATATTAATTAAAATTTCAGACCATATACAAATATTACAAAAAGCAACTGTATTTATTGAATGAAAATTCCTAAAAGTTAAAAGATACTTTTACTTTATAGAAATACTGACTTAAAAGCACTATTCTAAATTACTATTTGTAGAAATGCTAAATATGAGATTTTAAAATATTTGAAAAATTTAAGTTTCCTTTTACTCCTTCATAAGAAACTTTACTGCTTTCTCTCTTTCCTCCCTTTTATTTTTCACAATTTTCATAATGTAACTGTCCTCCCCCCCGAAAAAAAAAAAAAAACAGAAAGGGTTCAGATTTTAATGAATGTCCAAAAGGGCTCTTTTATAGTTTAATATGGTTATTGGTTTAATATGGTTATTAGTATGGCTCTTTTATAGTTTAATATGGTTATCAATAGATCAGCATAAATTTTCAATAGATAATATTATGGCTCAGGAGGAAAAGGCAAAACATTTTATAGGATATTAGATGAATATGTATTTAGACTAAAATAGGAACATTACATATCTTCTCTATGTATCAAGAATAAAAAAATATGTAAAGTAATTCTATAAAAATAGCTCAATATTTTTAATTACATATATCATGAATTAAATGCATTTTTTATTTAAATCAATCAAATTAAAAAGTAAAAAAATAATATTTTTCAAAACTGCATCAGTTGCTTTTAAATAGCTTAGTTTTATAATTATTAACAGACAAATTAAATATGAAAGAATAATATCTTATGTTTTTTCCTAATGCAACAGACTCAAATGAAAAGTGAAAAAATATATAACGTAATTCTATAAAAATATTTGTGTCTAACTATCATGAATTAAATGCATTTTTATTTAGCTTATCAGGTTCAAAAGTAAAAAATACTATTCTTAAAAACTGCATTTACTGCTTTTAAATAACTTCATCAATAACAAGCAGATTAAATACAAAAGATAAATAATTATTTTTGTTGAACAGCTAGACTTGAATGAAAAGTGAAACAATGCAAAATCACATATCAAAATTGATAACCCTTTTTATAAAAAGTCATGTTATCAAAACTGCCAAAAGCTGAAAATTTACTGTATTTGATTCATTTTATGGATTAGAACCACGTGTGATATTCAAGAGATATTTCATGATATTGTTCTTATAAAGTGGCTTTTATATTATACTAAAGTAGCAGCACAAAGAGACCAGTAACTATGATATACAAAAAGTAAAAAAAAATATATACATACTTTTTAAATGAACTCCATTTTTATTTTTCTCTGTTGATACAGGAGAAGCACTATATAAAGGGTCAATTTTGAATAATATTGGACAGCATGGCTCTGAAAAAGGTTTGCACAATAATAAAAGAACACCAGTTAAATTTGTAAAAAACCCATCAGATGCATGAAGTGCTGCATAAACTTCAGGCAATTGACTATTCCAAATTTTGGCACGTCCTATAAAATCCAAATCAAGCAATAAATTTGATGTAGAACTTTGTGACTCATAAACAATTTAAACATTCATTTCCCAAGAAATTTATGATTTGATATACAATAAACTCAACAAACAAAAGTACATATTTAATAAGGGATTTTCCAAACAGCAAAAGAATTTTAAATTCAGATTTAAGGCAGAAATTAATGGGATTTTAATTTCAAAAATAAATTATTACAGTTTTTATTTCATTATAAGGATATATAAAAATTATAACAGAAAATATATAATTCACAAAAAGAGTTAATTTTTATTTTTAAAATAAGGTGGTCAAATCTTTAATATATTCTCTTTAATTTAATTTAAAATAAGGTGGTCAAATCTTGAGACTGACATAATATGGTATTTTGCAGCATTAAACACTTACTCAGCAACTTATTTTGAAGTTCATAACTGTCTGAAATATTTTGCACTGAATTTAATAACTAAAATTTAATGACAGATACAAAACAAAACCTTTCATATGTACTGTTAGCACTAAATTTACAGTATTTCATTCATTATTTGAGTTCTAAGAATTTAAAATTTGAATGCAGCAGTTCTTAAATCTTGGTTCTCAGACCATCTGGAATCATGGGCAGGGGTCTGTAGATGATTTTTTACAAACTATAATTTGATCAATTTAATTTCACTATGAAAAATAGAAAGCAAGTTAATCGTCCTATGAAGGAGATCCTCAAACTCATTAAAAACTGTTGGTTTAAAACAATGAAAAAGACAAAACTGAGAAAAAAGCACAAACAGGTTAAGATGAATTAAACATTACATTGCTCAGTGAAAAAAATAAGTAAAAAACTTTAATTTACATTTAAATTAAATAAATAACACATTAAAATAAGCAAGTAAAAAATACAAAAAAGATTACACAAGCATATACTTTTAAGAAATAAATATCTGCTTATTAAATACAGTCAAAAGTCGTTAATCCGGACTTCAGCGATTCTGGATTATAAATCCTCAATTTAAATCTGGTAAGATGGCATGCAGAAATTTTAAAATTAATAATATGAAACTGTAATTTATGAAATAAAGAACAATTATGATCTAAAGGGTATCAAAATTTACAAAAAAAAAAAAAAAAAAAAAAAAAAGCTTAATATTTATTTGTTTACTTTATTAAATATTTCTTTCAATGTAAGTTGTTTAAGTTGCTTCGTTTTTTATGTGATAATACATTCTCTTTAATTCTATAAACAGACATAATTTCTTGTTCAGTTACAAAGTTCCGCTGTTCAAGTGCTATAATTGCTGTGTCAAGAATACCGACTAATTTGTCAATCGAAATTTTTTTGTTTTCAATAACCTCTGTGTCACTTTCTTAACTATCGGAAGTGAATTATAATGACGAGGAATATGATTTAAATCATATCAAAGATGGAGTACATCGAGATGAAATACTACATTTAGTAAGGAATTATAAGCCAAATAAAATAAAAACATCTGCCCTGAAAATAAGGATAGTGCTGACAGATCAACTTCCAATTCATTGCGCACCGCTAAAGATAAACAACGTTTAGATAAACAAAGGATATGCCTTTATCCATTTTTTGAAGCAATTCCACTTTTTGTTTAATGGGCTTCGAAACATACTTTCGCTTTGTAGATCCTTTACATATTAGTAAATATATATCAGAAATTCTATTTGACATAATCGAAAGTTCAAGCTTACTTTTATAAAATTGCTCTAATAGTCTGCAAAAAATAATAAGCCGAATCCAATTTGAAGATTAAGGAACTATGCAATCTGCAACATTAACTGAATTAGATAATTTTAGCTTAGCTTATACCATCCGTTATACATTAAACACGCATTCGTAAACGTATGTTGCGCACGCGCATATTTGCAGCCATAAAGGTCTTACGTGCATGCGTCGCGCAGAAAGTTTGTAGCTTTGAGGTCCGGATTATGGGTGTCCGAATTAATGACTTTTGACTGTATATACTCTTTTGCAAAAAAAATGAAGCACCAAGAAGGATTTTTGTAATAGTGACAAAATTTGGTATGCAAAAACATCTTCATCGAACATGCAAATGATCAAAGTTTCAAGGCAAATGAACAGGAGCTGCGATCATAACATGCATTTCTAGTGCACAATTTGCAAAGTAAACAGAGGCAAAAAGTTTACCTTCTTTTGTTACTGCCATTGTAATCTTGTAAAGAAGCAACTAAAGATGCCACTATGACAATATCGAAGACCTTACAGACAACTAAACAACTTCGAACGTGGTTGCATTGTAGGGTTGCGTGAAGCAGGGTGGTCATACCAAGCAATAGGCCGCCACCTGCAGCGTACAGATGTTGGCTGTGCAAACATGTTAGCAGCAATGGTTGTTACAAGGAATTGCCGACGAAGTGAAGGCTCTGGAAGGCCAAGGATCACAAATGTGAGGCAAGATAGGATGATTGTTTGTCAGGCCCAAACTGCCCCAACGGTATCATTGCCCACTATTCAAAGCACAACAGCCACTTCTATACCTCCTGTGGTATAGAAGTATCTCACGCAGCTTGTCTGAGGCTCACAGAGGCCTTTGACCCTACAACATTGGCGGAGTCATCTGGAGTGGTGTCGCAGCCGATCATCATGGCTGCCATCAGACTGGCATCGTATAATGTTCAGCGCTGAATCTCGCTTCACTCTTGAAGCTGATGACCACTGTGCTCGTATCTGAAGAGGACGGGGCCAGTGGTCCCAATCAGCTTCTGTTTTACAAAGGCATATAGCCAATAAGCCCTGGTGAGATGGTGTGAGGTGCTATTTTTTACGACAGCGGGTAATCATTAGTCATCCTCTGTACATCTTTAACAGCTTAACGATATGTTGATACCATCCTGCCGCCAGTTGCATTACCTTCATGGCACGTCATTTTGGAGCCATTTTCCAAGAAGATAATTCCAGGCCACATATCACTCTCATATCTCTGGACTGTCTCCGTGTGGTTGATACTCTTCCTTGGCCAGCAAGGTCACCAGACCTTTCACCAATCGAAGATGTCTGGGAAACATGGTAGGCTGCCAGATTCGGGCACCACAAAATATGCAGAAATGGAGCGACAACTGATGAATGTCTGGCAGAATGTGTCGCAGGATGACATTAGGAACCTCTGCTATTACTTGTCACGACGAATTCAAGCAAGCATTGCCTCCAGGGGCAGTTCGACCAACTACTAATTTGAACACTCAATTGGTGATTGCAAGCCGTGAACAGGTACTATGATCTTGATTTTTTAATCATTTTTATATCTGCGTATGAGCTATATACATATTCAATTTCATCAAAAATAACCACTTCCTTCACAGTGCTTGGATTTTTTTGCAAAAGAGTGTATATAGAGAGAGATAGACGGACATAGGTTTTGCAGCCAGGTATGCAGTACATGGAGTTAGAAACTTATTTATTTAATCACAATGTGCAAATGCTTATAAAAATTAGCAGCTAAATCATTAGTAATACATATATAACTATACAATAATAACTATATTGTATAATTAAATAAACTATATTACAGTAGTAATATATATAACTATACAATATACTAGTATATATATTACAGTAGTAATATATATATAACTATACAATATACTAGTTATATATATATATATATTACTACTGTAATAAAGACATAACTTCTAATATTTAACATCTCAAATCATTCAGTTTAGTATGCAATATAGTTTGACAAGCAAATTAAAAGATCTTATGCTACATAAAATGGTATCACTTGCCAAGTCACACTAATGATAAATGCCCTGGTAACATAAGTCCCCCTCCCTAATACAGACCTTACATAAAATTAAAAAAAAAAAAAAAAAAAAAAAAAAAAATCTGTACTGGAGTTTATAATGCATCATATTAAAAGCATTTTTGATTAATTACTGAGCATCATAGAAATTAACTGGTCTGATATATTATAAATTATATCAGACTGTAATGAATGTTTTCTGCCGGAAACATTCTTAATAAAGTTGTCATGAATGCAGTACCTTTAGTGCAGGTAGTAATCACCACAAAAATCTATGATTTTCTGCCAACGTTTTGTAAGTTTTTCAAAGCCTTCAGACCTGAAATTTCAGATGTCCTATGCAGAATGGAAGATAGCACCAGCAAGATGTAGCTACATCTGTGAAAAAAAGGTAGAAGTCTGAAGAAACGATGTTGGGGCTATATAGTGGGTGCGGCAGAAGATCCCATTTGAGTGTGTACAGACTCTTTTCAGTGAATGCAAACATATGTGGTCTTGCATTATCTTGATGGGACATTACCTTTTTGCAGCAGAACTCAGTTTGATGTTTTTCCTTAATAGCAACATCAACCTGGACTACCATCTCGCTGTATTTTCCAGGTAATCTTTGTGGATGTACGGCAATCTCACCAGATACAAAACATGATCTTTCTGTTAGTAAAATTGCACTTTGTGATGCTGCTGACAGGCTCACTGGGTGCAGACCGACCTCCTTTTTGGCTTGTGTTGATATTCGAGCAGATTAGTGCACGTCCGAACATGTCTGTCCCTATCTGCTTGAGTTATGTACAAGTTTATTGATGCATAGTGCGACTAATGAATATGGCACTATCGTCTAACAACTTATCAAGCTCTCGAGTGGTTGTATACTGATCTCTTCCACAAGTTCTCGTACGTGGGCCTCATCAATATCAGTAGGAAGGCCAGAGTGCTCTCACTTCTTGAATGTCATAGTCCTTGTTTTTGAACTTTCGTAACCAAACCTTCACAGTGTCATATGATACAACATTATTACCTAAAGCTGTACAGAATTCGGTGACAATCTCTAGCTGATGTTTTGCAACAGAACTGATAATAAATTATGGTTCTAATCTGGTAGGGTAATAGTTCCATTTTAGACACCTTGTACTAAAGATAATGATATTTCTTTACAAATTTCACAATACAGTATTCTAAAACAAGTCTCTTTCTTTCAAATGCCAAAAAAAGCACTTGGCAA